CCCTCATGTTGCTCAGAGATGCAAAACAGCGCTGTGACTGTGCTTGGAATTATTTTTGTTGGCGAAATAGAGCAAAAACAGGCAATATAGTGTCTAAAACGTAAGTCTCTTAATATTAACTTTTTTTTTATTGAAGAGTTGTATAAAATCAATATCACGTTTGTAATCATGCTGATTTTTGAAGGAAACAGCACTCTTCTTGTGATATTGATTAACTATATCAGGGACAACCAACCCCTGAACTATATGAAATTATGTAAAAGCCCCATATCTTGAATTTTGTGATGCATTTTAATAGACTGAATCATGCCGTGAAAGAACGCACTTTAAATGCGCACGCGCACTAATCTAACCTAATAGACTTCACGTCATGTATGCGTGCACTCTTTGTTTGGATTTTGCAATATAGTCGATAATGTCAAACCACACATCGTAAAACAACAATTACAAAATGTGTAGATTTGGTGGCGAACGCTGTTACCTGCAAACTCCGTCCCACAGGCTTTACAGTGAATGCAGTGCATAGAGCACAGTGCATTTTCATAGCGGAGCCACTCGAAGTCTTTCAACCACTCTCTCCGAAAATTGTACGCCTTCTATTCGGCTCGTGGATCAACATTCACCATTGATCGCTATCACCAGCACCATTATTTGTAACTTTAGGTGGTTCACAAAAAATGTCAGTTTCTTTTTTTATTTTCTCTCTTCTTCAGCCATTTACATTCCCCGCGGTAGTTAGCTCCTTGTCACCTGACAGCGGAAAGCAGTGACTGGGTGATTGACAGCTAATATTAACCAATACAAAATCTGCATTAAAGTTAAGAATGTAAAGATGAAGTTTAATTGGTTATGTAGCCTAACGTTTCATAGAACGGCAGACAGGTCACCGTATCAACACTCAGAAGGCACATACTCTGAATGTTTTTAGAGAATGCAAACAGGTCGCACGACAACAATTATATGCACTCGCACAAATGCTCCCAAATATATTTTGAGGTCACACAGATTAAATTTCGGGAGCATATGCGACCAAAATGGT